TGGTTAGAGTAGGGGTGTCGAACTCAATCAGAGAAGGGGCCAAAATCTAAAATCCAGCCTAAATCGCGGGCCGAATGGTTTACTGAACAGTCATAAACTGTCACTGTGATGGAAACGCAGCGGAGTGCAGTGATGACAGCGCGGTGCGGGCCACATTGCAAGGCCTGGCGGGACGGATTTGGCCCGCGGGCCTTGTGTTTGACACATGTGGGTTAGAGTGTTATCCCGATACACCAAGGTTGTGGGTTTGATTCCTGGTTAGGGCACGTGCAAGAATCAATGAATGGCCCTAGCTGGTTTTGCTTGGTGGCTAGGGCATCAGCCTGCAGACTGAAGGGCCCCAGGTTTGCGTTTGGTCAAGGGTATATGCCTGGGTTGTGGGTTCCATCCCCAGTAGGAGGTGTGCAAGAGGCAGCTAATCAATGACTATCTCTCATCATTGATGTTTCTATCTCTCTCTCCTCCCTTTCTCTCTGAAATCAATAAAACTACATTAAGAGAGAGAGAGAGAGAGAGAGAGAGAGAGAGAGAGAGAAGAGAATTAGCTTAAAAAAGAGAGAGACACTGAGGAGACTTGACAGACAAGAGAGGAGACACTGAGGGGCAGAGATCAGAGGGATGCAGATGCCAGCCAAGGAAAGCTCGGAGCCCCGCACCCCCCCCCCCCCTTCCCGAAGATGGAAGGGCGGGGCACAAAAGCTGCCTTGTGCCCTCAGGAGGAGCATGGCCCTGCCAACACCTTGATCTTGGACCTCTGGTCTCTGGAGCTACGAGAGAATACATTCCTCTTGTTTCAGGCCCCCCAGCTTGTGGTAATTGGTTATGGCCTTCACAGGAAACCAAAACAGGGGATATACATGTGTGGTTCAAATATCAAAACAACCTAAAATGTGAACATTGAGAAATCTAGCGTTTCTAGGTAACTGCTTTTATTAGGGTCTTCTTGACATGTCCAGGGCTCTTCACTGAGATATAAGAACATGTTTCTGCCATGTTTAAGAATGATATTTTAGAATATCTGCCTGGATCACTCACTATACTTAGATATGCACTCAGTGGGCTTGGCCCCTGGGCCCTGTCCCTCAAACCTCCCCCCCCCCCATCTTCACTCCAGCCTGCAGCATCCCCCCCGCCACCCCCCCCCCCCTGTTTCCCTACATGAAGATCCCATGCTCCTCCTGCCTCAGGGTCTTGACTCCCCTCCTTGCTCCTGCCTGACCCTCAGACCCTTTTGTTGCCACTGCCTTCCTGCCATCAGTTCTCATTGAAAGGCCACTTGCCCCAGAAGCCCTCCCTGACCTCCCAATTCTCATCTTGTTACTCACAGTAGCGCTTGGGTTCATTTGCTTTCCTGAATTTGTTGCAGTCTAACATTTTCCTGAGCACGTATTGGTTTTCTTGTTTGTGTCTGTCTCCCTCTCTAGACTAAATTCGAGGAGCTGGGATTTGGTTTGTTTACGCCTCCATCCTGGACCTTACACAGTGCCTGGCACACAATAGGCCCTTTGTAAACATTTGTCGAATGCAAAAATGAAATCTAAAGGTGGACCGCTTTGTAGGAGCTGGAGTGCACACTCAAGGAGGGTTCACAGTGTCCACGGACCCTCTGGTATGTCGTGTTTTGTGTGGACATGCGTGATTTTCGTGGAGATAGCTGACAGCTTTTATTGGATTTTCAAAGGGGTCCTGACCCCAAAGACACGGTGGGGTCTTGAAATCAGGGCTTGGTTGTGCAAGAAGGGAAACAAGCTTAAAAATTCAGTCCCCAAGGCCCACTGGGGGTCTGGGTATATGTGGCCAACCTAGAGGAAGGAACCCAAGGAAGCCAGAGCTACTATGTGTAAATCTCATGGGCAGTGGAGGAACTAGGGGAATGAAAAGGCTTTCACTTCAGCAAGGGAAGGACCTCCACGCTGACCAAGACCAACCGTAGCGATGACTGGTGAGGTGGTGAGGTCCTTGTCACTGGAGGTATGCGAGCACATGTGCATGCCTCCCTGTCAGAAATTGTTCTGGGATGAGCAGGCCAAGGAAACACACGGTCCTGGGATTTAGGAGTGTTACATGGTCTGGCTCAGAGGGGACAGTCTCTCAGTTAACGTAGGCGTGGGTCTTTCCAGCCTTCCACAGGCTAGAGTATACTTGACATGCCTCTGTCCCCAGAGTGGATTCATTTGAGTGCCATTCCCATATTTCACATACAAAGAGCAAGTCTGGTCTTGGCAGCTGGTTTCTACTTTGCCTGCTCCCGTGACCCTGAGAGGGGCAGTCTGGGTGAAAAATACAAAGACAGGCCTGGATCCCCTTTGTTTGGCCACTGTCCTTTTGTAGCAATGACCTTGGCTTGCACAGGCTGCCAGCTGGCCAGACTGTTCTCCTCTGGCCTCCCTTGGCTTCCTCACAGTCAGCAGCTTTCTTTTAGGACCAGAACGTCTCATTGCACATCCTTTATCTGGATCATCAGACCACATCCTACAGCAATCTCAGGGTGCCCTTCCTGATGTCTGCTTCTGAGAGAGGCAGCTCAGAGGGAGCCCAGAACCTTTCTCCTTGGAGCAGGAAAAAATCTCTGCTGAGTCCGGGGTGCCAGTTTCCTTGGGGCACACCAGGAGGCAGGAGATGGCCCCTCCAGAGAGGCTGTTGGCTCTGGGGCTCAGATTGGTCGATGCTGTCTCCAAGCTCATATGAGAGATGGTTGGCCTGGAGGTGGGGCTGGTGCTTGCTTCCTAACGCAGCTGCTTAGCAGTTATGGGACCCCAGACAAATGTCTCACAAATCTCTGAATCTCACAAATCAGATTCAAAGTGCCAGGCACAGAGTAAGAGCTCAGTAAACAATAGGTGCTATTATTACTACTGTTATTGTTTTATTAAGTATTGCTTGACCTCTCTGGGCCTTGGCAAAAGTATGATGACAATATGCATCTCATAGCAAGGATTAAGTGAGGTCATGGGAAGAAAAGTGCATTTTGAGATGTACAATCCTACGCAAATGTGTTAAACAATGGTTACTGATAATATATTATACAATAAAAGAGTAATATGCAAATTGACCCTAATGGCTGAATAACTGGGAACTGCTGTGCGCTGACCACCAGGGGGCAGACACTCAATGAAGGAGCTGCCACCTGATGGTCAGTGTGCTCCCACAGAGGAAGCTCCACTCAGCCACAAGCTGGGCTGACCCACCTCCTCAGCAGCGCTAAGGATGTAAGGATGTCCAACTGGCCTAAGCCATCAGTCGAACATCCCCTAGGGGCTTCCAGGCTGCCAGAGGGATGTCTGACTGCCAGCTTAGGACCAATCCTCTGGGGAGAGGGTGTAAGATGGCAGGTAGACATCCCTGAGGGCTCCCGGGTGGGAGAGAGTGCAGGCCAGGCTGATGAACCCCCACTGAGTGCATGAATTTTCATGCACTAGGCCTCTAGTTAATAATAATAACAGAAAGTCCTTCTAAGCAAGGAAGCCTGTTTTTCCAGGATTGGTCACAAGAGGGCACCATCTCCCTTGCCCAAGTCTTGTCCCAGTGGCCAATCTCCCAGGAGGGACCTGGTGTTGGCCTCCCTCACTGCTGCAGAGCCTGGGCCTCTTCCTGGGGATCTGTCACAGGACTTGTCCCTGGGGTGTCAGTTCCTTTTCCCCACGGATGGAGGCCCATGGCACAGCATTCAGGAATGTGTTGCTCCTTTAGGGCTGTGCTGAGACATGGTCTCAGCGCTGGCATTCTGCAAGGGCAGTGCGGAAGCTCAGACTGGTGCGTGCCAAGGAGTCTGTCCTCACAACCGCATCCTCATGGACCTGACTTCTCAGTGGTGAAGGGCAGGCACAGGTGTCTTCTCAACTTGTTCTGGGGTGCGGAGGATGGTGTGGGGAGCTGGGGAAGAGGTTGTCAGGCTGTTGGGTTTTTCCTGAAATCTAGCTGAACTTGGAGGATCATGCCAGAGATGGGGGACCTGTGTTTAAAATGTCCCCACAGGTTGGCCATAATGCCTATGGGACAGCTGAAGTCCAGAGTTTACTCTGAACCCTGATACCCTGGTGAGTGGAAGCTGTTGTTGTTGTTGTTGTTATTATTATTATTATTATTATTATTATTACCAAGTCATATTTCTTCATGGCCAGGCCAGCTCTAATCTCTGTGTTTGAGGGGAAGGGGTCTCATACTTCATAAATGCCTTCAGTGAAGCCTGTTAGGTGAGAAAAATAATAATTTACGGGGTGGAGTCTAGGAAGAAGGGAATTGAGACCCATGTAGGGTGTGATTTCAGACTCCCTTAAGTAATCTGGTCAGTCACACCTTTGGGACTGAAGGTGAGTGGCTGCTGTGTGTCTGGGCTTTACATGCTCCTGGTTCTTACCTTGGTCCCACCCTAATGGACCGTACCTCCCACTCTAACCCTCCATAGCTGGATTCCCAAACTTGTCATGGCAGCTCCCTGGGGCTTCCGACTCCCCGTGTGGGTCCTGATTGTTCTCAGTGCTGGTCTCTGGAAGCTCTGGCAATGTGAAGGCACCTGGGGTTCCCTGGGGCAGGGAGGGGGGCTGCTGTTATGTGCTAAGTTGGGACCAAATTCATGTTGAAGCCCTAACCCCCGGGACCTCAGAATGTGACTGTGTTTGGAGACAGGGTCTTTCGCGTGGGGCCCAGTCCATTCGCGTGGGGCCCAGTCCAATGTGACTCGTGTACTTATGGGAAGAGATTAGGACAGAGTCACGCAGAGTGAAGACACAGGGAGAAGACGGCCATCTACAAGATAGAGAGCGTGGCCTCAGGAGGAAACAGCCCCGAGACCCTTGATCTTATTCTCCCAGCCTCCAGAACTCGGAGCAAGTCAAATTCCATTGCTTAAGCTGCCAGTCTGTGGCACCGGCTGTGACAGTCCTAGCAAACTAAAGTAGGCTGACAGGTTCATTCCCTGCTTTCTCCCCTGGCACCCCCTCTCCCCCTGCACCCTGAGTCCCCTCCCTCCACCACATTCTCAGGAAGAAACAGGACACAAGTCAAGGTGCAGCACTTTATTACAGTCACAGAGCACAGGAGAGACCACTCGGGTCTCACGGAAGGCTTGTTTCCCCCCCTTCCCCAGAGGAAGTCATCGGGGTCAGCGCACCCCCCCCCCCCCTCGGGCCAGGCAGTGGGAGGAAGGGGACAAAGGCAGGTTAACAGCATAAACACAGACTTGGTTTGATTCCGGTTTCATGACTTACAGGCTGTGTGATTTTTAGGCAAGCCTCTGTGTCTCTCTGAGACTTGGCTTATTCCTCATCTGTGAAGTGGAGAAACGATAGGACCTACCTCACTGGGTTGTTATGAGGATTGAATGCAATGACACCCATGATGTGTTTAGCACAGTGTCTGGGAAATTGTATGTAGTCAGTGAGTGAAACTGTTATTATTATTATTATTATTAGGACCAACTCATATTTCTTCATGGTCAGGCTAGCTCTAATCTCATACTTCATAAATGCCTTCAGTGAGGCCCGTTAGAATGACAGCCTGTGACACGTGTGGGAGCCACCTGGCTTCTGAGAATATGGGGATCAGACCCCAAACTGAGGATTCTGGGGCCGTAGAACCTACTGTCTCTACCAACCCCATGGAAAGCACCAGGAAGGGTTTGCAAAAAGTTCTAGGTTTGTGCCTGGACCACTCCCAGTCTTTGGCATTCAGTCATTAATTAGCATATCATATGTCTATTTAGAAAGTCTTTTTTTTTTTTTTTTTGTCCTGTACTTTTTGCTTTTGGCTAAGGAATTGCCATAGGCTACTGTACTTGGAATCCATTCCTGGCTCTACCTTTTGTTATCTGGGCAACCTTGGGCTGGTCACTTTACCTCTCTGAGCCTCACTAGTTACATGACCTTCGAGGAGAAGCCAGGGTATGGAAGCAAAAGTACACTTTTGATGGAGGCATCCTTAGTAATGAGATGATGGATGGGGCCACAGCGGTCCCGGGTTAGTGGGGAAGAGTCTCTGCAGGTGTGAGTGGTTGTGTGTGTTCGCGTGCGCTCGCGCGCACAAGCACACAGTATTCCTGGAGTGGGCAGAGGCAGGCATCACCACAAGAGGGTGCTCTGAGCTTTGTCTTCTCTACCTTGAAAAAATTTTCCTTTTTCTATGGCTGCATTCCAAAGTGATCTAAGACTCGTGGTTTTTAGTTTACCTAGCTGATTTAATAAACTTTACAAATACGATGTGCATTTATTAGTTTCTCAATAAGTGGATACGATACTGTGTCCCCACCATCCAGCATGCTGGGAAGTGGGGCGAGGGTGGGTGGAGACGGGAAGAAACTGGTGCCGTATGGTGTCCTGGCTCCACCACTGCTCAGTTGAGTGCCGGCACGAATTTCCCAAGAGTGCCACAGTGGTGAAGTTCCCACATCCAGCCTCAAAGGGATGTTACGAAATGGACCAAATGGAAAGAAAAGCAACTTAAAGGTCAAGAACACAGTCTGCAAGCCCTCTTACCTCCAGCGCAGGCCTCCACTTGACCCGCCTGCCGTGCTGGAGCCGAGGCCCCGGGGCAACTCTGGGATGGGGAGGAGGCGAATCCAGCTGTTAAGCCATGACCTCAAGAACAGTATTTCCAGGAATCCCCATCTTAGCATCTAAGGGATTCCTGGGAAAACTGGACCGTGAGGACAAGGTGAGAGTGCCACGTCCCCACCTGGAGTGTCTTCTGCATCCAGCCTGTCTGCAGAGGGCAGAGTGGGCCGCCCCGTATCGCAGGATGTGGCTCCGGGAGGCGTAGTGACTGGAACTCCCAGTGGCCTGGAAAGTACTTTCCCTGGGGTCAAAGGCCACGTTGTTGACCAGCATCCATCCAGCAAGCCGCCCCCCTTCCCAGGACAACCATGAGTTGTGTGCATTCCTGAGTCTCCAGCCAGAGGGAGGGTTTTGCTCTAAACCAACTGGGCAGATCTGGTCCCTGGCCTCTGGCAACTTCCTCCATGGTGGCCTCCAGCAAGTCACTTAACCTCGGCTTTCCTCTACGGTAAAATGGGATCGTAGAGGACCTACTGGATTAGTTGAGATAAAAATAATTTAGGGGGTGGAGGCTCAGGAGCAGAGAATTGATAAGATTGACGGAAAGTGTCTGGGCCTATCTTTGCTGAAAGTGACCCAAGATGTAAGGACAAGACCAGAGCAGGGTTTACTATGTTCACCTCCAGGCCCCAACCCCCAGGTTTCAATGTCATGTGCACTGGGTTACAATACAGATCTGAAAGCAGACAGATTAGGCTACAACCCTGGCTTCAATACTATCAAGGTGTGACCCTGGGAAAATTAATTAACTGAGCCTTAGTTTTCTCATCTGTAAAATGGGCCCATAACATTACCCACCTCCCAAGCTTTTTGGGAGGTTAAATAAAATTGTGCTTAGCCCAGTGATTTTCCTCTGCTGTTCCTTGCTGGTCTGAAGCCTCTAGGAGACAGCAGGTGTTTGTGAGATGTTTGGATTGGTTTTAGTCAATAGCCTGGAGCAAGCTTAGCAACTCCAAGAGAGTTGAGCCTGGCTCAAAGCTCTGGACTTTATCTTTAGGATGGAAGGATTTTGTCCAACCCCCAAATGGTGAGTGGGTTTCAGCTCTGAGTCCCTGATGGGACTTCAGTGTTGAGAAGGATTCTGAAGCTGCATCTGAGCGCTTCAAGAATGGACACCTTGACAGATTAGCGGGGTCCGCCACGGCTCAGAAAAAGCAGGATGCTGGGTAATGGCCACACTAAATGCTCCAACCGCTCATCTTACAATGGACACACTGTGGGGCACAGAGCAGCCAGGACTTGCCCAGAATCATGAAGCAGATGGTGGCATGGGTGAGTCTTAGGTCCAGAGACTTCCTCAGCACAAGCCGTTGACAGTCTGGAGATGGGAAGTGTCCATGCCCCTCCTGGTCCCCTCCCCTCCCCCGCAACGCCAGCACTTACCGATTCCGGCGGGTGTCTGCTGAACAGCTTCTCCCTTCCTGAGCTACAGTGCTTCATCTCAGACTCCCAACTGACCAGAGATGCAGCACTGCACCTCAGGCTGGGGGACAGGTTTGGCCAGGCAGGGAGGCCCCGGGCAGGGAGGCCGGGATGGGCCTCTGCTCCACCCTCTCCGCCCCTCAGGCGACTGTACCCCCCACCCCCCTCGTTGGCCTGGCATTTGAGCCCTCTGGGACCAAACCTCAACTTTTCTCTTATTTGTTTATTTTTTAAAGAGCTTTATGGCAATGAGATCCTCTCCCCCTTTAAAGTGTACAATAAAGGGGGTAAGTACATCACAAAGTTGCACAACCATCGCCACAATCAGCTTGGGAATATTTCATCCCTCCAGAAAGAAACCTCTTACCACGCAGCCCCTCCCACCCCCACCGGCCCCAGCCCTGGGCAGACCACATTCGGTCTCTCTAGAGCTGCCTGTTCTCCACATTCCAATAAATGGAGTCTCCCAATATGTTGACTCCGTGCCCCTCCTTTGTGCTCGGTGTATCCCAGACAAACAGCACAGCCCTGGACTGACATTTCGTACCACCCAACGTCTGCCATGGCCCCTGCCTGCTCTCCCTGCCTCTACCCCCAACACCCAGACTTCCCACCCACCCCTCCCTGCCCTCCACCCAGAGTGAGTTCTCAAAATGCAAATATGGTCCTATCTCTCCCCTCCTAAAATGCCAAGAGAGCTCCCACTACCCTCCAGCTAGATTCTGAAACCATCACCAAAGGCTGTGGTGCCCGCCCCATCGAGCCACGGCCGGTGGACCTCTTTCCCTTGGGCCTCTCCTCCAGGGAACCCTGCACCCACCACCTCAGGCTCCCAGGTGCCATGCCACCCCACTGCCTATCTGCTCTGCGTGGGCTCAGTGCCGACTACAATGGCCACTTCTTCAGGGACGCGCTCCCTCACTTTCTCAGACCTCGTGTCCTCAAACATCCTTTTCCTGTGCCCTTTTCCTGATCCTTTGCCTCGGCCGTCTCATTTCAGACCACTTGGCACTCATGGGCTGCGGCCCAGCCGCACAGGAGGGGACCCTGCCAGCGGTACTCACCACGGAGAGCAAGCTCAGACGGTGTGGACCCCACAGCCCTGGCCGGTAGCTGGATCGTGTTCCTCAACCTCCTTCCCTCTGGTGTCAGGGCCATTGCATCTCGCTGTGACTGGGCTGGACTTCCAGTTCCCTGGGGACAGCACCCGCCTCTGGTTAATGCAGGGGTGTCCTGGGCTCTGCTGATGCCTTCGTACTTGATGACGGGCCCAGGGGATGAATGCCACTCGGTGGACGATTGACTGGCATGTGGGTCATTCATTTTCCTCTTCGGACGGACCTGGCTTGGGTGGGAACATCTGAGTGAGTAGGCAGAGCCCCCTGCACTCCACCTGTCCCCCAAGATCTCAGGGCACCCTGAGAGCATCCTCCTTCTTTTCTGGATGCCCACTGAGGTGGCCTTGATGCCAGATAACATAAATGTTCAGGGATGTCTAAGGGCAAAGTGGGGGTGGGCAACCCTTCCTCAGGGCTGGAAGTGAGCAGGAAAAATACAGTTGATACTAAAACGCGTCTCCGATGCTTCTAGCAGAAGTCTGAAATCAGGCCCCGATCCAGAGAGCCTTCTCCCCTGCTCTGACATTTGGGGTAGGTTGGTCAGCCCCGGGGGCCCCCTAAGCAAGCAGCCCCTTCCTGAGGCGTGGCCAGCCAAAGAAATGCCTGCCTCTCACATGGAATTCTTGTAGGAACTCTGCAAACTGCGCTGGTCTGGGGAGGGATTCCAACATCAGGACCAGCCTTGGGGACAGCCTGTCCCTCCTCTCTTCGATGCTCCCCTCAGCCCTGCGAGAGGGCACACTCGCCTGACCCAGGTGGAGGTCTCAGTCAGGAGTCAGGAAGGGCTGCTCCAAAAAAAGGGATCATCTGCTGCCTGGAACCAAGCAGGTAAACCAGCCCCTGCACCCAGTGGGTGCCCAGGTTTCCCCAAAGCCCTTTACCAAAACCAGCTCTGACTTGGGGGTGCAGCCCAGGGAGTGAACAGTCGGGGGAGAGCCTTCGGCCTCGGCACTAACTACCTGTGGAAGACAGAGAGACTCCAGCCTGTCCATCCACTCTCAGTCCTGCCTCCCCGGAGGGGAAGCCTCGGCCGGGCCCTCTCCGTCCGCCACTCTCCTCGGCCTGCTTATCAGCCCCAGGCCCAGGGCCTGCACGCCAGGGTACTGGGGAGAGAACGATAACCCAGGGTCATTCTCCCTGTCTGTGCTCTGACTCTCTTCTCCTAATTCTGGTCAGTGTTACAGTTTTTCATCCTTAGTGACTAGATGTAGATAGTAACTATGGCACCTTAAACTTGAAAATGTTACGATTGTAAACATTTTTTAAAAGGGCACCTGAGTGACGGCAATCTGGGCCACAGTTAATCTTCAGAGCAGCCGAGGGGGCGAGGGGGCGGGCGAGGCGATGTTATCACTGCCCCATGGAGGACCCGGAAGGGGAGGAGGAGGGTTCTAGGTCACAGTCCAGCCTGAAGGGGGTGGGGGTGCCAAGGGCTATTTCCAGCACATCCCATTGTCCCACCGGGCTCACTGAAAAAAGAGCAGCTCTCCTGGGTGTAGGAACAGGAAGTGGACGGGGCAGTCCCACGCTCCTGCGGGAGTACCTCTGACGCAGGGACCGGGGTTTGAGGCACAGCCTCTGACCAGGGGAGGGTTTGGCCTCCAGTTCCTCTGTGGCGATAGGCTGCCTCGTTGTTTCTTTACGTCTAGAAAAATCCTAAGGGTGCAGACGGTGCTAAGAACAGTCATTTACTGAATGCTGTCATTGGGCCATTTCCCCATGCATCCCCCAGGCTCCTTGGGAAGAGACTTCTCTGAGGGCAGGGAGCTAGGAGCTGAGCTGGGATTCCTCACTATGGACAGCAGGCCCAGGGCCCCCATTTCAGCCTCTATGCTCGATGTCTCACCCCCGTGACCAATTCTTTGGGTTTGAGACAGTCTAACCATTTCACCTGCCCATCCGGCACACCGAGTCCGTCTTCTGCGTGCCAAGGGGGAGACGGGACTGAACTTGATGTCATCCTCGCCCTGGAGGAGTGCCTTCAGGTGGAAATGGAAAGAAAATGCAAGGCAAATAGGGGACGTGAGCCGGAGAAAGGACTGCCGAGGGCTCAGAGGACAGAGAGGGTCCTGCCCTGGGGGAAAGCTGGGAGAGCTTCCTGGAGGAAGAGGAGGTGAGGCTGGGCTGGGAGGACCTGGCTCCCTGGCCCCTGAAACTCTTCCCTTGACTCTTGTGTCTTCCCGGCTGGCAGACAGCACTGGCCGGTAGCCCTCCTATGTCACTTCCCCCACAAGAGGCTCTGGGACCCTAGTCAGGGGACAGGGGGCCACTTGGGGAATTCGGGTTCTGTCACCAACTGGCTCAGTCGCTCCTCACAGGCATGTCTCCTCTCTGCGGCTGTTTCCCCTCCAGTCAAAGGAGGCATTTGAATCGGTGACCTCAGAATCTTACCTGGTGCTGGCCTGGCGGTCTGGGGGGCTGCTCCACGAATGAGCCGTTCCTCCTTCCTGCTCCCCATTGTCTTCAGGAAATGTTGCCGAGCCCCGGGGGAACCTCTGTCTTCTGTCGGGAAGCTCCTGGGAGGCTGGGAAGGAGAAAATAAACAGTGGCTGTCTGGGTTTTCTCGCCAGGCCTGAGCCAGGAGGCCTCCCTGGCTCCTTCCCTTATATGGCCAGGCTGCTCTGGGCTGGGAGCTCGCCGCTGCGCTCCCCCACCCTCCACCACCACTGAGGGCCGGGGGCCCACTGGCCACCTGGGACTCTGGGGCTGCAGAGGCGGGGGCAGGACTGAGGGTGGAGGGTGGGACTCAGGACATGGTCCCATAGTCACCTGTGCAACCTGGCCCCCTGTGGCCCCTGGGCTGGGGGAGATGGACCAGGTGGGAGTATTTCCGTAGAAACAAGGGGTGGAGAGGAGGGAATCCACCTGGTTCTGTCACCTCCAACGCACAGTGTGACCCTGGCCACGCCCTTTCCTCTCCTGGCCTGTTTCTCCCTGTCCAATGAGGGTGGAGAAAATCCTAGTTAACCCTCACAGCCCCATTGGTGGGGAGCTTTTGTATCCCTATTTCACTGAAGGGAAACAGGCTAGAGAGGCTAATGGATACCGCTATCTGGCAAAAAGGGAGCAAGGCTGGATTTGAACTTGGGCATCTGACTTCAGGGTCTGTGCTCTGACTGGGAGGATTGCTAAGGCTCCTCTTGGTGATAACAGTCAACCGCTCACATGTGCCATATGGAAAGGGGATTCTGCTGCAGCTCGTCCCTGGGAGACCAGGGAGGCCCCAAGGCCCAATGACCAGCCCAGAGGACACTGTTTCATTAAACACTGGGGGCAGAGGCTCAGACATCCATCTCCGTGTCCCCCGGACCCCACACAGGGCCTGGTGCAGACTCAGGGCTCAGGAAAGGGGAGTTGTGGATTCACTGACTAAATGAACCTCAGTGGTGCCCTAGCCAGATTAGCTCAGTGGATAGAGCTTTGGCCTGCGGACTCAAGGGCCCCAGGTTCGATTCCGGTCAGCGGCATGTGCCTTGGTTGTGGGGCACATCCCAGTGGAGGGTGTGTAGGAGGCAGCTGAATCGATGTTTCTCTCTCATCAGTGTTTCTGGGTCTCTATCCCTCTCCCTTCCTCTCTCTAGAAAATCAATAAAATACATATTTTTAAAAAAATAAATGAACCTCAGTGGTCACATCTGTGCTATGGATGCAACCTTCTAATTCCCAGGCACATTTTGAGGAGTAAATAAAAACAGTGAGTGTGAAAGCCTTTACGGTGCCATTGTCTTTTTGTTCACAAGTTCCTTCTTCCCTCTCAAGTGCCTGCCTACGTCTCATCCCTAGGCCATTGTCTCCTGGGCTGGATTGACAGGGTCCAGTCCTGCTCGGGTCAGGTGTGGGGCCGAGGGGAGGGTGGTTCGGCTCAGGGCTCGGGCTCCAGCTGCAGTGGCCGTGGGAGAGGCTGCAGGAGGGGAGGGCGGGCTGGGAGGTGGGGGTGGGGCTGGGCTGCTGGGAACAGCTCAGAAACGAGCCTCGCACAAGCACTCACATCCTGTGTGCTCTTGAGCTAACCCTGGAGCCTCCCTCAGCCCATCCATCATCGTGGCATCCTTTCAGACCCTGGCCCTCTTCCTGGGGCCGGGGGGCAGGACGGGGGCGGGGGGGGGGGGGTCCTGAGGACTGACTGTCAGTGCGGCCGAGACACCCCAGCTGGCAGCTCTGCAGGCCTGCTCAGTGTCTGTGCGGGACAGTGGCGGGAGGAGGCGCCTGGAGCCCTCCTAATCCAATTTGTTTAGACCCAGTCTCCGGGCTCGCTGGCCAGCGAGAGGGGGCTGGGTGTGCGCGCCGTGCCGGGGTGCACGTTTGCACACACGTGTGGGGCGTGCGGAAGTGAGCAGGTGTGCTGCGTTATGTAAGCCGGGCCTGGGCCTTGTCACATGTCCCCCGAATGTCAGCTCCTGGCCTCCTCCGTTCACCCCCAAGTCTTCCTCCACCTTTTCCGCTCTTACACGAGCTGGTGCCAGAAGCCCCCTCTGCAGCTGGCTGTCTGGGCCATTCTAAGTGAGTTCCTTCGCCTCCCTGGGCCTCCGTTTCTCCATCTGTCTTAGGGAGCCAGTAGGTCACTCTGCCTGCTCCACACACAGGGCACTAAGAACGGGCAGACACGGGGAGAATAAGATGGTGGTAAAAACAGCCGCTATGGTAGCCACATGTGCCCAGCACTGCGCTCCGGGGCACACACCTGACCTGGTGGGCCCTGTCAGAGCCCCTCATGCTGGCTCTGTCATCACCAGGCTCCCTACCCCCAGGTCTACCTGCTTCTAGAGTCCAACCTGTTTACTCCCTTCCCGGGAAGACTGGCATGGTTCCCTGCATTTCCAAGTTCTGTGTTCCCCGGAGCTCACAGGGCATGGGATGGGGTCGGTATCTGGACCCTGGTTGTTTCCTCCTTTGGTCTCACTTGTTTCACCTTCATCCCAGACCCAACAGCCCCAAATTGCCGGCACCCCGTCAACCAGCAGGGGCCTTCCGCCCACTCCTCCCATCTGAGGCCTGGTTTCTCAGTCATTCTGAGGGTTGGGGTGGGGAGGGTATTCCGTGGGCTCGGGTTACCACAGGAGCTGCCATGGGGTGGTGTGTGTGTGTGTGTGTGTGTGTGTGTGTGAGAGAGAGAGAGAGATTGAGATGTGGATCAGGGTGGGAGCTGGGTGCGTTGGGTGGGGAGCACTTACAGTTCTGTTTCCAGGGTTCCTGTTGCCTGCCTTCCTCTGGTCCTCAGGAGACCCCTCTGGGGTGCTGGCTCCTCTGTGCCCTTTCCTGAAAGGAATGAAGATGCCACCTGTCAGGAGATGCTGGGGTGTCCTGGGCCTTTGCAGGCTCTCACCAGGCTGCCAGCTCCAGGGGCTGAGGATGGATCTGGCTGCTGCTGGGTCCTCGGAAGTCTCGGGCTGAGCCTACTGAGGGTTTCCAGGCTTCAAAGAACCGGCTTCTCTGGCCCTAGGCGGCGGCCATTATTCCTGCTTCGCCTGCCTGGCTTTCCAAGGGAGTCGTCTGAGCGCTCCAACCTCACTGAGATGGGGGGTTCGGTGCGAGGAGAGGGGAGGCTTCCTGCTCTGAGCACACTCAGGCCGCATCAGTGAAAGAACGGTTCTGGAAGGAGATTCCCCAGAGGCCCCTTAGATGCCACCTCCAGCCTAACACACGGGAAAAGAGCCATGAAGGGGGAGATCAAAACCTGGGGTTCACACTGTGGCCAGGTGCAGCCCTGGGGCCACCAGCTGCACCCGGTCTTCAGCCTGCAAAGGGCTCCCTCGCTGACTCCAGGAGCACTCACAACCACCTGGTGGCAGGAATTGCCTCTGCTCGCTGAGCTTCAAAGAGGCTCTACTATGAGCCCGGGTCATCCTCTGTGGAGTGTCAGAGGTCAGCTTGAACCCAGGGCTGCTCATGTTCAACCCAGCTGTCTCCTGAATGTGGGCAGCAGCTGGCTGGAGGACCATCACACAAAGCTCACGTCGTTACGGTCATTGCAAAAGCCCCTGTGCCCTTTCCTGGCCTCGCTCCTTTCCAAGAAACCGGGACTGGGCCACATCTGAGCGCCAGATGGCAAGGCAGCGGGAGGGAGCTGAGGGTGGGGCTCTGGGCGGGCGCACGGACCCAGCCCACGCTGGTTCTTTCGGGAGGGCCCCTCCTCAACTCCATGAAGCATGTGCACGTAGGACAGCTGCTGTTCTCCCAGGGCTCCATGTTTGGGAAGAACAGAAAAGACACAGGCCCTGGAGCTGGGCTGACCTGCACCGGACCCTCGCCCTAACACTCTCTAGCTGTGTGATCTCTGGCCGGTGGCTTCACCTCTCTGAACCTTGGCTTCCAGCCTCCCAGTTGCTTGTGAAGGTGGAATGTCAAGTGCAAGCACAGCTGCTGGCACGTAGCAAGCCACAGTACGTGGCTGCCACTTCCACTAGGAGTATGGGGCCGGCCCTGCAGTGAGGCCTAGGCACGGGAGGAGTCAAAGCAAGAGGATGAGGCAAAGGCCCAAAGAGGTACCCAGAGAAGACATGGGAGCTTTGGTGGGGGCCACCGTGTGGAGCCCTTTTCATGTCGCCTCTGTGTGGGCTGCTCCGGGCTTCTGTCCCAGAGTGCCCTCCCATCCCCTTGACACCCCAGCCGAGTTCAGCAGCCTCACACGCTCCCTATTTCCTCCCCAGGGAAGGTCGCTGCCTGGGGACTTTGGAGCAAGCCCTGGGAATGCAGTTTGAGGCGGAAACAAGAATGAGGCAGGAAAAAGGAAAGAAAGGGGCCCAGACCTGCCTGGCCTAGAATCCCAAGCGCCCAGGAGTAGCTGGGGCTCTGGGAGGGTGGGGGTAGAGACCAACAGCCCCATGGCTCCGACCTTCCAGTGAGAACAGAAACTGGAAAACAGTGACAATGATAGTAGCTGCCACCTATCAGGCTTACATTGGGACATGCTTGGCATCGAGCAAAAGCTGCCACAACTGGGTGTTACAGCTAACTCACTGGGTGCTTTCCATGTGCCTCCCACTTGCTACGTTCTTTATTTTACATTGGTTTTCTCATATGTTCCTTCAATCGTTTAGGAGTTAGGTGCCATTTTTACCCCTATTTTACAGCTGAGGAAACTGTGGCTCCCAGAGGTTACAGCACTCCCTCAAGGTCTCACAGCCAGTAAGGGTCAGGATCAGGATTGGCTCCAGGCAGCCCACAGTGCATTTGCTCGGCTCCCCTGTAACCCCAGACACTTCATGGCATTGTCTTGTCGGAGCAACAACAGGAGATAGTATCTTGCGGCACGTTGTCAGGTGTGTGTGAGTCGGTGTGGAAAGGGGGTTGTGAACAGAGAAAATGTTTTCAGTATCAGTGGAGGCCATCTGGGCCCTGGCCAGGGGACTTCTCATTTCATTTATTGTTATACCTCTTTCCAGCAGTATTTCTCCCTCACATGCTGTTTGCTTAAAAAAAAAAAAAAAAGAAATCAACAACCCAAACCAAAAAAGCATGATAAAGGAGTTAGTTCTCCCCTCTGGCCTGCCCACTTTGCAAAGAACTGGGAGCTCCAGGGCTCCAGTTAACTCTGACTGGACCATGCCTTTCAGATAACAAAGTGTTGGTTGCTCTTGAGATGTGTTGGATGGGATGTGTTAGGTATCAGGTCTTCTGTAGATGTGCTGTGTAATTGTGGACAAGTGTCTTTCCCTCTCTGAGCCTCATCATGATGGTGGGTAGTGGACTGGACTCCATGGCATCCAGAGTCTTCTGAGCGTCAGATAAGTGGGGATGGTTGGACCCCATGCTGCCCCCTTGGTGTGAGTGTCAGTATGAAGGAAGGTGAATGGTCTGCATAGATCTGTAGAGAGGGAGAAAGGGAGAGAGAGAGAGAGAGAGAGAGAAAGAGAGAGAGAGAGAGAGAGAGAGAGAGAGAGAGAGAGAGAGAGAGAGAGAGAGAGAAGACACTGGGCAGGAAGTACTGAGGCTGGAGCTTTTGACTTCCTTTGCCCCCATCCCAGCCTACTGCTCAGCCCCGGTGACCTGGATCAAGTGGATTTTCTACACCAGGACTTGAAGCCTCAGAGCATGAGGGCTGGTTTCACCCACATTGTTCAGATGAGGGGACTGAGGCATGGAGAGCAGATGCAGAGAGGTGGGGGCCCTGCTGGGACTGACCCCTTCTACTCACTGAGGGATCCTAATGGCTCTGATCTTAACAAAGGGGCCCGCAGGAAGGAGGGAGAGAGGACAGCCTTTAAGTTCCTTTGGCTTTGAACATAGAATAATCATGACTTCCTTTCCCAAATATCTTTTGGCCCTTCCTAGAACCAGATGGCGGATGTTTGGAATTTATGTTGTAAATAGTGTTTAAGAAGGCGGGGGGGCGTGGAGGGGGGGTGTGGCGTGCAGATTTGCTACTCTCTCCAACCACCAAAAACAGGATCCAAGGAAGGGAGTTGGGGAGGGGAGCTGACTCTGAGAAGATGTGGGGAGAAGGGAGAAGGATCATTTGGGGAGAAGGAGAAGGAAGAGAGAGGAGAGAGGACAAAGGAAGAGAGATTGATGGAGTGAGAGTGAGAAAAGACAGAGAGGCCAAAAGAAGAGGAGAAAGGGAAGGAAGAGAGGGCAATGGGTGAAGAGTGAGGAAGAAAGAGAGAAGGTCGGTGAGAGAGATGGCGAGGGGGCTTCCCGGGTGCAGGCTCCATCTTGAGTTCGGAAGCAAACCCTTGAGTTTTCTAAAAATAGTTCAGCCTTTCCCCCAGCGGGGCTGGCAGCGGGGACGCGAGAGGCTTGTCCTTTTATGGTAAGAAAATTCCAGATCCTCAAGGGGAGCTGGGCCCAAGCCTGTAGTTCTGGATGAAGCCCAGCCTTGGGGTCTGGGCTGTGACTTGGTGGGATTTCTTGGCCTGGGTGGCCCCACCTTTGGCGAGAAAAGGGCTAAGGTGGCAACACTGGAGCTCCAGTGTTGGAGGTGGACGGGCTCCTAGAGACATCTGGTCTACCCCATCTTTCTGTTTGATAGGAGAAAAAACAAAAACAAAAACAAAAACAAAAACAAAAAACAAATCCCACAGAGCGGAAGAGACTGTAGGGTCCCCATGTCAGGTTTGAGGTGTCAGGATAAATCAGTGCCCAGGTTCACATGAGGATGGCTTACGTGCCCATTATTATGGAGGGCAGTGCTGGCAGTGGAGAGAGCACTGGTCTGGGCTTTAGGAAACCCACAGCCCACCCCCAGTTGCTTGTGGTTTGCCGTGTGTGACCTTGAGCAATCTGCCAAATCTCTATGGTCTCAGATTCCTTCTCTGGAGTGACCTCAAGGACCTTTTGCCTCTCTGGGAATTCCAAGGCTGGAAAGCAAAGCCTGGGCAGAGAGGCAGTGGGCAATCTGCAGGCAGCTATTTCCTTCCCGTGCCTGGCCTGCTTCCTATGCTGAGGCAAAGCCAAGATGGACCACAACAGAGAGGAGATTCTATAGGAGACTGGGGTAGGTGGGAATCTTCAGCTGTCCACATTGGTTGGGTCCAGCCCCTCACTGGACACACTGAGGCCAGAGAGGGCCTTATGTTCAAGATCACACTCAAGGTCATGTGGAGAGTTGGGACAGAACCAGGAAAGAAATCAGCCTTGGATTTTTTTTTTCTTCTGCAGGAAGCCTCCCATCTGCAGCAGCTGGCAGCTTTGGGGACCATCTCTGGCCAGGAAAGGGGTCTTTAGGAGCAGAGCAGACAGAACTCAAGATATGCCTTCAGCTTCTGACTACCTCTTAAAGACAGGATGTCCTGGCAGGTCACCCACCACCCCTGGACCCCTCCCTTGGCTGCAAGCACCTTACCATGGTCTCACTGGCTGGAAGGCAGGAAGGAGGCGAAGAAGGATGCATAGGACCGGGCAGCCACTTTGGCAGTGTTATCTCGGGCAACTTTCTCCTTGTTAGCCTTGGGTTCTGCATCTATAACACAAGGAGATGGCCTTGAAGATGCTCTTGACAGGACTTTCAGCCCTAACAGGACTGTGACACATGAATTCAGCACTCAAGACCAAGAAAAGTTATTATGCAGGCATTGGGTTCAGAGGGTGGATGAGATGGATCTAGCCATTCCCTGTTGAGTCAGGGACCTAGTGCCCAGGGTTCCTGGTGGCGCCAGTCCTCTGTCAATTCTGGGAGCCTGGATTCACTCTCTGTCTCCAGCTTGAACCCAGAGCTCAGGTAGCTCTGGTCTTGAGTGCCCAGGAATGCCTGTTGGCCGGATCAGTGTTCATGCCCACTCCCCAGGACCCTCCCCAGGACTTTGCCCTTCCCTTCACCCTGTCCCACCTCCCCAGCCCCTGCCTGGCCCCCCTCCCCATCTCCCCTGCACAATTTTTTTTTTTGTGTGAATCAATCCAAAGAGGAGGATCACTTTCCTCTTCTAGCCTCCTGTGACCCCATTCTCCCTCCCCCCCCCCCCCCCCCCTCACACACACTGCTGGAGGAAAGGAGGGACAGGAAAGAAAGAGGCCAAAAATAAAGCATCTTGTTCTAGGCTTCCCTGTGACTCTCCAGGAATTTCCATGTAAACTCTCAGGGGCGTGTGAACAGGGCTCTCAGGGACCCTGGTCCCCTCAGCCTCATTCCTGCTGGGTGGAAGGCCATCGGCTGAATGCCCCCCAGGGACCCGGTCTCACAACCAGGCTCCAGGTCTCCCTGGCGTTGCCTGGGAAGGGCAGAAGGCAGCAGCGTGGTGAAAGGAAGTGGGAGGGAAGGGAGTCCCTAGAGGCCCCCGAGTGCAGCCAGGGCAGGACTGATGTCATGCCCAGCTGGGAATCTGACATTCAGGCAGGAGGGAGGCTCAGCCCCATGAGACTGGCCCAAGGCAGCCAGGGCTGTGATGTGAAGTCCGAGTCGATGGTGGGAAAAGCCTGAAGCCTAATGTTTGACTTCTCTCTATGGTGTCACTGCTACGGTTGCATAGCTCTGGAGATAGGGAGTTCACGGCTTTCTGTCTGTCTGTCTCTCTCTCTCTCTCTCTCTCTCTCTTAAATATATCTTATTGATTTTTTACAGAGAGGAAGGGAGAGAGAGAGAGAGCTAGAAACATCGATGAGAGAGAAACACCGATCAGCTGTCTCTTGCACACCCCCTACCGGGTATGTGCCCGCAACCAATGTACATACCCTTGACCAGAATCCAACCTGGGACCTTTCAGTCTGCAGACCAACGCTCTACTACTGAGCCAAACCGGCTTTGGCAGCTTTCTCTCTTTGGATAGACTATTGGAGATTCCTTCCCAGTATCCCGATGACATCTGTCTCGCTGGGGATGCACCCCTGTCCTTTCCCACTCCTCAGAAAGCTCTTCAGATGGTGACTACAGCCCTTGGGCGTCCTGCTTGTTCTGATCCCACCCGAAGGCCTCCTGTTCCACTGGTGACATCGCAGAGTCACCAATGCCCAAACCCCCAGGGCTCTCCCCTGCATTGGTGGCCTCCTGGCGGTGCTTTGAGGAGGGGAAAAAACAGGCTAAAGAAAGGGACAGCTGCCAAGAAGGACCCATCCCACCTTCTGGGGCTTTGGTTTCTGGCTACCCAAGCTACTTCATGGCCAGGTCTTCTCCATTTTGCCAGCCTTGAAACTCACAGAGTTCCCAGACTTCACCCTCCATTCCAACCAACAGGGCTGGTTCGCTCTCCCCTGAAAGTGTCTTCCCAGTCCTGCCTCTGTGCCTGCCTTTGCACACAGAGCTCCCCCTCGGAATGCACTCTCCTTTCTTCTCTGTCTGCCCAAACTGCCCTGCTGCACTGACCCCCCACCCCAGGTTTTCCTCCCGAGAGTCTGAGCATCACTGTCATACATGGGGTGACTGGAGCTGTCCCCCTTTTTTTTCAAATCAGGCACCAGCAAAGCCAGAAGAGCCCAGAGAGATGGAGGAACTTATCTGAGGGTGCTGGCTGCGGAGCCAAGACCAGAGTCTTAGCTTGGTTCTCTCCCAGCCTCCCCTTCTATCAGCGTAGCTCAGCAGATGCCCTCAGATGCAATGTGGCCACCTGCCTGAGGTCAGGCCATTGTGCCTGAGGGACAGACTGACCAGTGGCCTCCAAGTTCAGCAAGTCCAGCCAGAGGTGGTGCCAGCCACCTCCCTCCGGACACTTCTCCCATCCCTGTTGCCCTGAAGAAGGAGGAAGAGGAGGGTCCCCTTGGCCTCATTGCTGCTGGTGGAAAGCCTTCGGCTTCCAGTTTGGGGCTTTCCACCTTCTTCATACCATGGCTCAGGTCAGAGGAGGGTCTTTGAGAAGGGGCTCTTGGTATAGGCTCTTGGGGAGGAGCCAGATGAGCCTGCTTCTTCCAGCCTTGGCTTAGCCGACCGCCCCTTCCTCCAATCTCCCATGGGCTGTTTGGGTTAAGGGGCAGCCTTGGCAGCTGAGGCCCCCAGGGTACTCAGCCTCCAGGGTACTCAGCCCCCAGGGTACTCAATTGCCCCAAGGGCTGCTCATTGGGGTTGATTGTTTTGCAGGGGGCATCTTTGCCCTGAGCAGGCCTGGGGGTGAACATGCGAGGCTATCCCCTATACAGTGGTCGGCAAACTCATTAGTCAACAGAGCCAAATACCAACAGTACAATGATTGAAATGTCTTTTGAGAGCCAAATTTTTAAAACTTAAACTTCTTCTAATGCCACTTCTTCAAAACAGACCGTGGTATTTTGTGAAAGAGCCACATTCAAGGGGCCAAAGAGCCACATGTGGCTTGTGAGCCACTGTTTGCTGACCACGGCCCTATCACAACAGTGACTAATCCAGAAGGAAGCTTCCATGGCCCCTCCCCAATGCCCACTGGTTCCTGCTCACGAACTCACTGGGGTGGTGCTAGCGTGTGAGCACATGGTCTGTGGAGTCAGCCGCTCCTGGGGTCCAGCTTGGCTTCTTAAAGTTGCATGACTCTGGGCCAATGACTAACCCTCTGAGCTCCCAGGTCCCCTGTGGGGTGATTCTTACCTCAGAGAGTGCTGGGCAAAGGATGGGGGCAGAGTTGATATGTGGCAATTGTGCGTGTGTGTTATTTTTGTTTTTGTTTTTGTTATTGTTGTTAATCTTCACCCAGGATATTTTTCCATTGATTTTTAGAGAGAGTGGAAGTGGGGAGGGGTGGGAGACACAGAGAAACATAGATTGGTGGCCTCCCACACACACCTCGACCAGAATCAAACCTGGGACTCTTCAGTTGGTGGCTGATGTTCTATCCACTGAGCAAATCTGGCCAGGGCCAATTGCTATTTTTGAGGGAACAGTTTATCCCCTCCCCAGGTGGAAAGAAGATTTTGAGCCCTGTACATCCCCCCAAAAGCTGCCTTCAGTAGTCACAGTTTGGAAATTACTTTTTGTTGAGATCTTACTATAGGCCAATCAGTGTTCTGAGGGCTGTATGAGTTTTAACTCACTTAATCAGATGGTTCAATAAGTATTCTTATCCTGTCCAAGGCCACGCAGGTCCTACCAGGCAGATATGGGATTTAAAACCCGGCAGCCTGCCAAAACTGGTTTGGCTCAATGGATAGAGCGTCGGCTTGGGGACTGAAAGGTCCCGGGTTCGATTCCGGTCAAGGGCATGTACCTTGGTTGCGGGCATATCCCCAGTAGGGGGTGTGCAAGAGGCAGCTGATCAATGACTCTCTCTCATCAATGTTTCTAACTCTCTATCTCTCTCCCTTCCTCTCTGTACAAAATCAATAAAATAGATTTAAAAAACAAAAAAAACAAAAACCAGGCAGCCTGACATCTCTCTGGCACCTTTAACTACCGGCCTCCATCCCACTCCAGCAGCGCTCTGACCCTCGCCCGGGGTCATCTCATCCCCTGGGCACAGGGATTCACCCCACATCTGAAGCCTCCTGGCTTCAGAGTTGGCCTGCTTCTTCCCTCGAACAGAAACTGGCCCGAAAGGTCTCCATGGGCCGTGAGAGCTGGTGATTCACGCTGTCCGTGAAGGCGCGCTGTGAATTGGAGAAAAGGTCTCTGGTGGCAGAGCATTGCCACCAGCAATACTCTTTTGCAAGAGGGAAGGGGGCTGGCTCTTGAAATGTGTGGTGAAGCCCCGTGGGGCCTGTCTAGACAGGCCCTTAGGAGGTGGCAGCCACTGCGGGCGCCCCTCCTCCCTGAGTCCCCCGCCCCTCCACCGCGAATTCCTGCTGATCAGGCCTAAGGCAACCTCTGATTGGCCCACAGCCACTGCGTACTGCTGGGCGGGGGTGGAGGGGTTGCGGGGGGGGGGGGGGGGGGGGGGCGGCGGCGGGGAGAGCCCCATGACAGTGCCCACCACCAACCAGGGCTGCAGGGCACTATGCACCTTGGTCCATATGTAGGGCAATTTCTAGATACCCACGTGGGCAGGGCAGAGCAGCATTTTTGTTTCTTCCGTACAGTCTTTATTACAGAGATTTGATAGATACAAAATAAAGTGTAACATATGTGCTTCAAGGAATCTGATCGTTTCAAGGGCTGTCAAGGAGGGGCTGCTCCCACACTGCTGTGGGCAGGTCCCGTGGCTCGGCCACTTGGGAAAATAACGCGGTGCTCCCCTGTAATGCTGACAGGCATGCACCCTGGCACCCAGTAATCTTCTCCAGGTATAACCCCCGGAGACACTCCTGTGGACAAAAACGGTCCTAACAATCATCGGAAAAAGGCCTTTTCACCGATGTTTGCAGGACTCCGCGGCTCTGAGCCCGGGGGACTGTTTAGTCAGAAATTGCATTTGAGGTGGCCCCGGGCACAGCCCAGAGGCGGAGACCTCAGCGACCATCTCCCCGGACCCCTCAAGGCTTGCTCAGGAGTCAGACACAGCCCCCCCGAGTTTCAGGGGTGGCATTGGGCTTGGAACTTTCTCGTCCTCGGAGCTGTGTGTGTCAGCTTGTTCCCAGAACTGGTCAGGCTGGCAAAGGGCTGACTTTGCCCGAAGACCTGCAGGGTGGCTCTTAGGGACCAGTGGCAAGCAGACTCCTTTCGGTCCTGGGGCAGCGGCAGGGCGGAGGGAGGGCAGTGCCCTGGAAGACTGGGGTTCAAGCTCCATGCGGCCGCTCTCTGAGCCTCGTCCCCTCTGGGAGGTGGGTGGGAGTCCTTGTCACTGCTCACCTGAGAGTCGCCAGGAAGCTCTGGGGTGGGGTGGCCCAGATGCAGGGCAGGAGGCGGGAGACCCTAGGGGAGAGAGCTTCTGGGGCAGCCAGAAGTTATACAATGTCCAGCTGTGTGACCTTAGGCAAGCTACTTCACCTCTCTGTGTCTCAGTTCCCTCCTCTGGGCAGTGAGGGTGAGGATAATAATGGCACCTAGCTCACACAGTTGTTGGGAGGATGAGACGGATTAATTGGTGCCAAGGCCTTAGGTGGTGCCTGGACCGTCATAACCGCAGTCTCACTTTCCTATCCCTACCACCTTGGGGAGCCCAGGCTGGGCGGGGAGACGGGTCCGTCCCAGCTCTGCCGTCAGCTCTCTGGGTCACCCAGAGCAGGGCTCTCCTTCTGTGGATTCCGTGGCCTCTTGGCCAGAGTCCCAGGCTGTATCACGGCACCGCATTCTCAGATCTCCATGTGCAGGGGAGCTTGCAAAGCAGAACCCTGGGCCCGTCTCAGATTCCCTGATCTAGGGGAGTGTGCAGTGGTTCAGACACCACACTTTGGGACACATGGCCCATGGACGCCCTACTGAGGCTCAGAGGTGGCAAGTGGCCTGCCCAGGGTCACTTGTCCGTGTAAAAAAGCCGGAACTGGACCCAGGCGGGGCCTCCTTTTGGACCATGTTGGACTTGGATCCCATGTAACCAGCAGTGGGGAAGAGAGAGAGGGCACTGGGCAGGCTGGCGCTGGAGGACTGTGTCCATTTTGGGCCCCAGATGTGGCCAGAGCTTGTTTAGAAGAGTGTCTCCCAGTCCTGACCTCAGACCTCTGCCTCTACTAGCTCTGCCTCCCCATGCCCATCCCACGTTGCCTGCTTTCCTCTGAGTCCTCACTATCTCCCCTCTCCCCATCCCGAAGCCCTCTGCTGTCCCTCTGTCCCCATCCCACGCTGCTGTCCTGACCCAGAGATCAGCCCCTTCCCCACCAGAGGCTGCCTGGGGCCTCGCCTGCAGTCAGAGCCCCTTCGGCTCCTTTAAATCACGTGAGGCCCAAGCTCCGAGAGTTCCCACAGGCTAGGGGCCTCTGGTCGGACTCTAAGCAAGGGGTCAAAGGGCAGGCTCGTCTCAGGGCTCCTGGGGAAACTTCCCGGCACTGGCTGCTGCCCTTTAGCTTAAATGGGGCTCAGAGGCCACATCCTGCGTGGAGACTGTGTCCCCAACAGCTTCCTGGTACAGATAGGAGGCTGAGGTCAGAGAAGATAGGGCGCCTGCCCAAGGCCACCGGGCCCAGCAACGAAAGGCAGAGCCGGGCTGGACCCAGGCCCCATCCCCATCCCCCAGCCAGCGTGCCCATCCCTCTGCCCTGGCCCAGCCAGTATCCCGGCCTTCCTGCTTCTCTGCCTGCCTGCCTGTCTGTAGAGCCTGAGCTGATACGGCTTCTCCTCCAGTTTTGCTTCTTGAAACTATTATTTGGAAACAGTTTTCCTTGCCAGGAGCCCCGGGCTCTTGGAGCTGTGAAATCGAACCTCATGGAACACAGAAACACTGTCTACTGGACTCGGTCACGGCGGTGAAGCTCAGCCGGCAAGACGTGAACAGTGTCCACTCCCCCTGCTCCCACCCCGCTGCCCCACTCCCCCGTCTAATCATGGCCACAGGGAGTCCTCAAAACCCACAGGACCCCGGAGTCCGCTCATCCGTCAGGGCAGGAGGGTGTTAGAGATCATCAAGTGCAGCCCCTGGGGAAACTGAGGCCCAGAGAGGCAGAAGGCACAGAGCAGGTTAGCAAGAGAGCAAGGACTAAACGCCCAACACGGTGTTCTCCTAGGGAGGATGCCCCAGGCCCCCGACCCTCCACATCTGCCTCTGGTGCTTACCTCTCCTGTGTCTGGTCCAGCTGTGGTTCCTTGTGGCCCAGAGACGGAGGTCAGGCCATTTGGGGATCTTTGAGGCTGTCACTGCTTCTCAACTAACTTCACTGGCACCCCTCACCGCTGCGAGGGCATTTTTAAACGGCTGACACTAAGCCCCCGGCCTCTAGCTCGCTGCTCCCTGGCCAGAGGCCCTCTGCCTTTTACCTTATATGAGCTGAAGAGGCAAGCCCAGTGTTGGGGTGAGGCGGGTGCTGAGCCCTCCCGGGGCCCCCGATTGGCCCAGGAGCCCACCACATGACCGCCTCGCCTTGACCTGCCCCTGGTGCCGAATGTTGCTTTTACCCCCTAAGGAAGGAGTGGTTGACAATTTTCATATTTCTTCTAAATTTGGAGATTTCAGACAATGCTGGGAGGCTTGGCTCCAGCTGCCAGAGGCCCATGTGGAAGTCATTAAGCCCAAGAAGGGGGGCCGGGGGAGAGAGGGAGGCAGGGAGACGAGGAGGAGGAAGGGGGTGGGGGCCAGAGTTCTGAGGGCTGCCAGTTGTCAGCCTGGGAACATGAGCAAAGCCCTGGGAGTAAGCTGCGTGTGAGAATTTCCTTCCTGCCCTCCGTCCCTGTGTCCCAGGACGGGAGTGGGAGTGCTGAGATTTTCTGGGAACCTTGAGCCAGGAAGACCTCAGTTCTGGCTCCTGAGGCCCAGAGGGTGGTGGTCATGGCAAGGGACTGGGGACCATGAGGAAGCAAATCCACTCTCCGGAAAGCGGGGGCCCTGGCCAGCCCCATCAATGTGCAAAGAAGGCCAGGGACCCAGGAGGGACAGGCTTGCCCTTGTCATAGAGGCGCTGCCACAGGACAGGAGCTTGAGTCCAGACACCCCAGTCTCTCTTTCCCCCGCCATGCTAGTTGTCAGAGATGCCCCTCTCTTACCATGCTCCTCCTTTCTCACGCTTCAGCCCCTCTGGCCTCCTAGAGCTATCTCAGCATTTTTTTTCATGCCTCAGGGCCTTTGCACTGCAGTTCTTTTTGCCAAAAGTGCCCTTTCCCCAGAGCTGGCTTCTCCTGCTTCTTCTTCTTTAAAAAAAAAAAAAAAAAAAAAAAAATATATATATATATATATATATATATATATATATATACACACACACACACACACACACACACACACACACACATATATATATATAATTGATTTTTACAGAGAGGAAGGGAGAGGGAGAGAGAAACATTGATCAGCTGCCTCCTGCACACCCCCTTCTGGGGATGTGCCTGTAACCAAGGTACATGCCCTTGACTGGAATCAAACCTGGGACTCTTCAGTCCACAGGTTGATGCTCTATCCACTGAGCCAAACCAGTCAGGGCACCTCCTGCTTCTGGTCTCAGCTCAAGTCACCTCTAGATGAGGCCTGACCTGGCCACTGATTTATTCCCCACCACTGCCCCCCTCATGGCCCTCCAAGCCTGCCACATGTACGCCCTTATTTCACGTATTTCCTGGGCTAGTTGCTTATTGTCTAGCTCTCCCAGGGAAGTGAGCCCCTGCGCAGGGTCTGTGTCCCCAGACCTCGGCAGTGCTGGTGCAGGATGGCCAGAAAGACAGTTTATGGAGGGGCGGCCGCCAGCACTGGAGCAGTTGCTCTGAGGCTGGACGAGGGCTCCTCCCAGTGGCCAGCGGCGCCCGGAGCTGAGGGCTGCTACCCCATCCCTGCCCTTTGTTGCTCAGAACTTCCCTTCTGTGGCCAGGGGGCTGGACCAGAGCTACCTCCATCCCCATTCTAATTCCTGGTCCCCTGGCTCCTGGCTGCCCCCTCCCTCTCTTCCCTCAGGGCCCGGATTCCCTCCAGCACAGGACCTTGTGCCATTCTGGGTGGGGCCAGTGGCCACGAGGGTTGTGGGATGCTCAACCCGACACAGTCCCTGATCTTACAAGGCCCTGGCTCAGCAGGGCATCCTCACCACCTCTTCCTTCCTTCTGAGGAAACAGCCCTCCTGATGCGGGAGGCCTGTGAGCCTGGTACTGCCCTGTGCTCCCCAGCCGGTCAGCTGTGGCTCTGAGCCTCACCTTCCTCCTCTGTGAAGTGGATGCTAAGGCCTGCCTTGCAGCATTGCCCTGAGGGTCAGTGGGGCGGCCCCTGCTGACCTGGGGATGGGTCAGGCAGGGGCTCTGTTACTGTCCACGGGTGGAGGGGGGCCTGGGAAGTCACTTAATGTCTGTGAACCTTATTTTCTTCTTCTGTAGAATGGAGTGAGAAACAGCACCCCCTTTTAGGCTGGCCATGACCAAGAGGCGAGACTGTGCTGACGAAACATTAGCCCAGGGCCCACTTCAAAGTATGTGCTCAGCGAGCATCCGATGTTGTTAAGTGATGTGACTCCAGTGCTGACACACGGCAGACTCGCCATTTGTGTCATCCCTTTCCTTCCTGAACCAAGGAGATGGATTCCATTCATACGCCCCACCCTCCCCCCATGCCCGGGGTGTAAGACCATGGGCAGGGATGGCGTGGAACCCCACTCCCCTCCACGCTCAGGGGGCCAGGTTAACACTCCAGGCACCAGCAGCAGATCCCAGGGCAAAGATGAAACCCCCTCAATGAAACCATCAAGATTATGGAACGTTCACTCTGGAGATTGTGAAATGTAACCTATGCTTCTGTCAGTTCTGCTGCTGTCTGAGCATCAGAGAGTTTTCATCGAGATTCAAAGGAAAAATAGAAAAACTTCCGGTCTAAGTTGTATTGAGAGCCACCATGTCAATGCCCCAAATTCGGGGCCTGGCTAAACACCGCCAGGCTGTTACCAAAAAGTTCATTATCAGAGGTCAAGGCAAGGAACAAAAGCCACCGAGAGACAGAGCACAGGACATCCTGGGAGAGGAGGTGTTCTGGCACCAACGTATCTTCAAAAGCTAGCTTAACAGCAGCCATTTGTGACTCAGTGTCATAAATCTGTCTCAAACATTTCAAAGCCGTTTTTATTTCCTCCCATACCCCCTCTTGGGAGTTATGAGTGCTTTAGGTTTATTAATCACTGTGTGAAGTGGCTTTTCTTTCCAGACTGTGGCAAGCAGCCTTGAAATCCGTCCTTTCCCAGAGGAAACAGGTCAATGATACTCCTAGTACGTGTGGGTAAGGCGTCTTGGGAGGCCGAGGGAGGCCTCTTCTTAGGAGCTGGGTGTGAGAGTGTGTGTGCGGGGAGTTCTGTGTCTTCAGAGAGTGTGTGCAGTCAGGGCATGGGGAAACCCCAAACAGGAGGGGCCTGAAGAACAGGGCACTCATGGGCTCTGGGAGAGACGCCTCACTCCTACAGGTGATCAAGGAAGAGCTTGCGTTGGAACAATTACAACCTTTAAGATGTTCAGCCGAAACCGGTTTGGCTCAGTGGATAGAGCATCGGCCTGTGCACTGAAAGGTCCCAGGTTCGATTCCGGTCAAGGGCATGTACCTTGGTTGCGGGCACATCCCCAGTAGGGGGTGTGCAGGAGGCAGCTGATCAATGATTCTCTCTCATCGATGTTTCTAACTCTTTATCACTCTCTCTTCCTCTCTGTAAAAAAATCAATAAAATATATTTTAAAAAAAATAAAAAAGAAGATGGAGTTCAGATCCACACAGGAAGGACTTGGAGGGTGGTGAGCACACAAATGCAATATACAGATGTTGTATTACAGAATTGTATACCTGAAACTTATATAATGTTATTAATCAGTTACCTCAATAAATTCAATTAAGTAAAAAAGAAATTGATAACTCTTTTTAAATTAAATTAAAAAATTTTTATTTTAATTATTTTAAACTACATTTTTTATTGATTTCAAGGATGAGAGAGAATCATTGATTGGCTGCCTCCTACATGCCCACTACTGGGGATCAAGCCGGAAACCTGGGCATGTGTCCTGACCGGGAATTCAACCGTGTCCTCCTGTTCATAGGCTGACGTTCAATTACCTAGCCACAACGGCTGGGCAAAATTGGTAACTCTTAAAAATGAATAAAGGACTTTGTAAGTCAGTGGAGCTACTCAAGGATGAAATGGACTAAAGGGCCATCTTGATAAAGTTATGCGTCCTTTGTTCTCGGAGGAATACAAGCAGAGGCTGAATGACAACTTGCAAGTCCCTCCTATGAACTTCATCACACACTGCATGTTCTCACACCCAACCTGTCCCCAACCACCAGCCCTGACTTCACACCAATTTGACCCATAAGGCATAGCTCAGAGGGGTCAGGGGGAGACTGTTATGTACTGGAAAGGGTCATGAGCTCTGAGTTAAAAATCAAGCTCCATGTGTTTTTTTTGATGAGTGTAAGACTTTTGTTTCATTGATTTAATTTGATTCTGAGAGGTAATAATCAATTAGTGAAGATGAGCTTATAATTTGTAAATCCAAACCAATTTCTTAAAACATAATAGAAAGCTGTGCATAGCAAATGAATGAAGTTGAAATCATAGTCCAGAAGAAGATATATGGTATAATCCCATTTAAGTAAAAGGATGTGTCTGTGAAATTACAATGAGATGCCACTACAATCCTATTAGGATGGCAATAATAATAATAATAATAATAATGGAAGAAGAACCTCCTAGTTACTTAAATACTTATACATTGATGTTCATAGCAGCATTACTTATAATAGCCAAAATGTTAAAATAATCCAGGTGTCCATCAATAAATGAATGAATAAACAATATATATATATATATATATATATATATATATATATATGTACAATGGAATGTTATTCAGCCATAAAAAGGATAAATTCTAGTACATTCAAGAACATGTATAAACCTTGAAAACATGATAAGTGAAATAAGTCAGACACAAAAGGACACACCCCAGTAGCATGTATGTGTGCATAAGATTGTACATGTGTGTGAAAATGTGGTTAGATATTTAAAAGAATGTGGGAACTAGGGTAATTCTGGCTTATTCTATTGTTGCTATCTGTACTTGATTTTTTCCCTAATTCACATTGAGCATTTGCTGTTCTTGCTATCAGAAAAGAGGCAATTATCACATTTTAAAAAAGGCACATAAAGGGTCCTTGACAGCTTACTTTGTGTTAGAACTCACAGATGCCGAGTGTGCAAAACTGAAACTTCAACACAGGCTGTTTGACAAGGAGGGA